ACAAAGACATGGTTGCTGTTTCCTGGAATAGGCAGTACAGAACCATTTGTAGTTAAGGTTACAGGTGGGGCATTGCCCAATCCTTGAGAAACAGAGGTTTAATCATAAACAGGAATGAACAGTTTATCTTTACTATAAGATGGCTTTTATGCTTAAGATGTAGGCAGGCTGGTTCATCACAGCCTCAGAGCCCCTCTCTTGAGCAGATGGAAATGGCCCTGGCTATTGTGTTTACACAGTTAAACGATGGTAATATGTAAGATGTTCTAACCACTTCAGCCAAACTGTCTTCCTTTTCCAATCTGGTATCACACTTCTCCTGGACCAGGTGGCATTAGAATGGATGTCAGCATTTTGGACATCCACACAGAAGGAAGTTGAATTAGGAACATATTAAGTTGGGGACTAGTGGGATATGTTTAGTGTAGAAAGTTGCTCATTGCAGCCCTGGCATAACAATGGCTAAAAGGAATGTCCCCATTGCATAGTGTGTCAGCTCCTTTGACACTGAGGCATGAGGCTAGAGGTTGCATTTCTGGAGTGCATGTAACTCACTCCGGAAGGACATGAGTGTGGAAGGAGGCAACTTTTTAAATTTATTGAGCCAGAAAAACAAGTATCTGAAAAGTTTCTATGAATATGAGAGACAACATTTGAAATAGAAAAAACAAACCTCTCAGAGCCTGTGAGACTGCTCAGCTGGTACAAAGCATTCTACTGAGCCTGACACATCAAGTTTGATGTCTGGGACACACAGGAGAGAGAGATCTGACTCATGAGCATAGCCCTGACTGTCACGCATCTGCCATGGCACATGCCCTGACTAGGTGAAGAAATGTAATAAAGAAAAATTTTAAAGGAAACAAGTCTCCCCCTGCTATGTGTTGTGTGTGTGTGTGTGTGTGTGTGTGTGTGTGTGTGTGTGTGTGTGTGTGTGTGTGTTGCTGGGGACAGAAGGCTGTGAACAGATGTGAACACCTGCAGACAACAGATAAGTTATTCAGACTCAGAGACCTCGGAACTTACAGGATCCTTTATTAGGATGAACTAGTCTTCATAGGAATGAAAGAGAACCTTGAAAGTTGAGGTGATGGGGTATTACACTGAGAAGGAGGTCAAAGGTTGAAAGGCATTACATCTGAAGAGAATCCGGGGTGACAGAAAGGGAAAAGGCAAATTTTGGGGTCCTAGTGTGGGGACAGCCAAAGTCTTAGTGGCTATGACTTGGCCAGTGCCAGCCAATACAGAGCATCTGTTGGGCTCACAGAAGAAAGTTTTGGTTTATGAGCCAAGACCTGGAGCTTCTTCCAGCTCAACTTCGTGTCCAGGAAGACAGGGCTGCAAGACACAAGGGATGGAGATGCTTGTCTTCAGTCACCATAGCAACCAGATCTTTCAGCTAATTGCTGACACTGCCATGGGAGCACACAGCAGGTGACAATTAGTGTTCAACATGTCAACCCATCAGATGCATGATTCCCTGATAGGGAGCCCCATTTGAAAAGGTCATGGGGTCATGCATGGGCTGTGGAAACCAGTTGCTCCTGTCTGTAATTTCTGTCATGAGTCACTTCATTTCTTCCCTAAGAGCTTCACTTCTTCCCTAATAACAGTCTTGAGTGTATTCCCACTTCTTGAGTGTTTATCTCATGAAAATATTCCCTCTACTGGGTACACATATATCTGTGGCTAGTCAGGAAGATGATGCTTAGGCTGTATAATCTTGATGAATAGAAATAACACTAGGATATTTTACATTACTTAGACTGAAGAAGGATTCTCAGATACTTTAGACTTCAGGGCAGATTCGAAGCAGGATAGTTACCCCTGGAGACAATATCTGACTGCCCCTGGACACAAATACACAAAGCTATTTTCCCAGGTGTTGTTTTGCTGATTCAAAGCCAGAGCTTGAAGCAACTTTGGTCTGCACGTACTCCCTACCACTCAAGGTTCAGCTAACTACTTGTCATTTTTAAGTCTTGATTTCCAATGGCATTTTCTGTCTGGAAGCCCTCACCAACTTAGAGCTACAGAAATGGGTCAATGTGACAGTCCTAGGCTGAGAGAAACTATGTGGCTTATCATGTGTCTTGAGAATGGGCTGGGCCCTGAAAAATAACTTATAATTGTTCAGAGTTTGGCTGTGAGAGCAAGAGAGGGCAATGATGTAAGGAGGCAGAGAAGAGGCGGTGGCGACGGTGGTGGCGGCGTGGAGATAGATGGCTGTGTAAACCACATGAGAGCAGCTGCAGAAGATGAAGGGCGTGTGTGTGCTGAGTGACAGATGATGAACAAGAAGCATGAGAGAACGAATGAGTGATAGGGTAAGGAATGAGTGAATGATATAAAAGAAGCATTCGTGATGCACCCCAGTCTGACAGCTGGGGAGCCAACATAGGAACAAACCAGGCCCCCTGAATGTGAGTGTCAGCCAGGAGCACTCACTGGGCAGTCTATGGGGCCTCTGGTAGTGGAACCAGGATGTATCCCTAGTGCAAGAATGGACTTCAGGGGCCCATTCCCAATGAGGGATACTCTCTCAGCCTAGATACACAGGGGAGGGCCTAGGCCCTGCCCCAAATGACTTAACAGATTTTGATGATCCCACATGAAGGCCTCAGGCTTCCTGGGGAGTGGATGGGGGATGGGATAGGGGAGTCAGAGGGGTACATGGGAGGGAGAGGGAACTGGGATTGATATATGAAATAAGATTGTTTCTAATTTAAATAAAATCTATATAAAAAGAAGCATGCATGAGAGTGAGGGTAAGAGTGTGTGTGTGTGTGTGTGTGTGTGTGTGTGTGTGTGTGAAGAGATACACAAGTCAGTGTGTAAAGAGAGTGAGGATATGAGTGTGTGTGTGTGTGTGTGTGAGAGAGAGTGTGTGTGTGTGAGAGTGTGTGTGTGTG